GAAGGAATATGAGAAAGGGAAGGAAGAGAAAGAAGAGGGAAGAATGGATGGATGGATGGATGGATGGATGGATGGATGATGTCAGCGTTCCAGCAAACCTCTATTCCAATCAGTAACTGAGACAAACATATCTCAAAAGTACCTTTATTAGAATAGCACATGGCACATCTGTGGAATCCCGAATCTAAAAGTTTTTTCGGGCTTTCCACAATTTCCCAAACTACAAATCCATCCCCCCTTGGTCATCATCACTTCACATGGCCCAATCACAATCCATCCAAAAGCAAGATCCTTATTTCATCCTGTGCCATACTCAATGACCTTGGACTAACAAAAGAATTTTATTTTGTCTACTTAGAGCTACTTAATTGAAATCACCCCTCTCCCACTCTCTCAGGCTATGTGGCAGCATGGAATAGGGCTTCCAAAGCTGACAGATGGATGGATGGATGGATGGATGGATGGATGGATGGATGGATGGATGGATGGATGGATGGATGGATGGAGGGTGGGAGGAGGAAAGGAAGGAAGGAAGGAAGAAAATGAAGGAAGGGAAAGAAGATGGAGGGAGAGAAGAATGAAGGAAGGAATATAAAAGAATGAAGGAAGGGAAAGAAGAAGGAGGGATGGAAGGAAGAAGGAAGCAAGGAATATGAGAGAGGGAAAGAAGAGGGGAAGGAGGGAGGGAGGGAGGGAGGGAGGGAGGAAGGAAGGAAGGAAGGAAGGAAGGAAGGAAGGAAGGAAGGAAGGAAGGAATGTGCACTTTTTAAACACTGGTAGAAATACCATCTTGGTAGAAATAATCCATTTCATTAATGCTCACATGATTCTTAATTGCAGATTAGCCAAATTACAGTTAAATCTATCTATTGTGCTTTTCTAGCCAAGCCATCCAAATCAGAGAGAGAGAGAGAGAGAGACCCCTGGGAATGGCTGAACATAGGCCCAATTGTTCAACATGATGTTGTACCCTGACACTCCTGGTACTTCCAAGCCTCTATGGGTTCCTCCACAGACTTCCTAACCTGGGACAGTCCATGGCTTGAAACTATGCGTGGAAGTAGCTCCTTCAATCAGAAGCTCACATACAGTACATGGGTTGGAGACCATTATGTTTAGGAGTTGTAAGGCTGCATCACTGTGCCAGTCTTTCTTTCATTTTGTGCGCACGGATCCAGAGAATGAGGATTAAATTAGCAGGCAGAGAAATCAGCAAGGAACCAGAAAAGGGAAATAAATAGACGGTGTAGCCATCAGGAGTTGAACTTGGCTTAAGGGAACCTTGCTGGTAAGAAACACAATCTTAGTTGGGTATTTTAAACACAGAGGTGAATATTCAGCAGGTTCTGACCAGTTCTGGAGAACCGGTAGTGGAAATTTTTAGTAATTCGGAGAACGGGAAAATCCCACCTCTGACTGGTGCTGCCCCCATCTATTCTCTGCCTCCCGAGTCCCAGCTGATCAGCTGGATCTCCTTTTGTTGCCCTGCACAGGAGAACGGAGCTGGAAAGCAGGTTAGTGGGGTGGGAGGGAATGGGATTTTGCAGTAACCTTCCCCTGCTATGCCCACCCACCAAGCCACGCCCACAGAACCATTAGTAAAAAAAATTTTTAATCCCACCACTGTTTAAACACCAAGCTCTCCTACAATGAACAGAATTGGGTTTCTCTCATTTCAGCCACAATGTTTCTTGAAAACTGGAAGCGTTTGCAGATGAGGTTGTGTTATTTCTGGGATCTCACAGGATTGGAGGAAGAAGAAGTAAGTGCTTTCGAAACCGTTCAAACATTTATTTTGCTCATGTGCACCTAGACTTTTTATCCGTTCAATTCTTTAAATTGATCCGATGATTTCATTTCCCCAAAACCAAATGCAAGTAATTCAGTTCTTAGAACTGAATGGCCAAGGCAAATGCAATTAAGCTCTTGGCTTGCAAATTCAAATCTGATTTTGGCTGGTCCCTGTATCCGATACCTTGAATTGGCAAGCCAGTCAATTAGAATAACAATATTATTATGTAATCCAACAATATTGAAAAGTTGAATGGCATAAAAATTGCATACGTTAAAAAAAAAAACTCAAAGACTGTGTAATTAGAAGGTAGATTGGTTTACCTAAGATGAAAACCAGAAAAAGTCATTATAATGAGAATGGAAGATCAACTTATGATGATTAGGGGACTGGAGGCTAAAACATATGAAGAACAGTTGCAGAAATCGGGTATGTCTAGTTTAATGAAAAGAAAGACCAGGGGTGACATGATAGCAGTCTTCCAATATTTGAAGAACTGCTACAAAGAAGAGGGAGTTAACCTATTCTCAAAAGCACCAAAGGGCAGGACAGGAAGCAATGGATGGAAACTATGAAGGAGAGAATCAACCTAGAACTTAGAAAAAAATTCCTGGCAATGAGAACAATTAATCGGTGGGATGGCTTCTCTCCAGAAATTGTGGCTGCTCTGTCACTCAAGGTTTTTAAGAAGAGATTGAACAACCATTTGTCTGAAGTGACGTAGGTCTCCTGTTTGAGCAGTGGGTTGAAGACATCCAAGATCCCTCCTGTTATTCTGTTATTCCTGGTAGATTACTTGTAGAATATTAGCTTTATATTTCCAGGGATTGTGTTTCCAGAATCCATTATGCTCATGTACCCTTAGTCTCTATTTTAAAGCATTTACTTGCAATGTGTTCTTTCACCCTCTCTGCTACCCAAATTCGCCAAGGAGCATCTAAAGGTTTGACTTCTTGTTCCATTCAAACCATCATAACTCTTATGTCACAAGCATCTCCTACCAGTATTCTTGCTCATGTTCATATGTGCAGGAGCCCAGGCCAGAAATAAACACAAAGTCACTACCTTATTAAGATGTGAAATCTCAATACCCCGTTCAGATGTATAATAACATATTACAGTACAATCCATCTCTTGTGTATTATACTCAGCAAAGCATTACAGTCAGTGTTGGGTGTATATTTTGTGTATATTCGTAGATATTGTACTCTCAAATTGCAAATGGAGACGTGGGTACTCCATCTTTCTTATCTTCATTTTGAAGTGCTTTGGTTTTATTGTATTGCGAACAGTTGCTGGGGTGCATCCACAGTTTCGTTGTACTTGTACAATGACAATAAAGTTGTTCTTCTTAAAATGGTATAGGGTCTCCTGCTTGAGCAGGGGGTTAGACTAGAAGACCTCCAAGGTCCCTTCTGTTATTCTGTTATTCCTAGTAGATTACTTGCAGGATATTAGCTTTATATTTTCAGGGGTTGTGTTCAGGGATTGTGTTTCCAGAATCCATTATACTCTTGCACCCTTAGTCTGCATTTTAAAGCATTTACTTGCAATGTGTTCTTCCACCCTTTCTGCTACCCAAATACAACAAGGAGAATCTAACAGTTTGGCTTCTTGTTCCATTCAAACCCTCATAACTCTTATGTCACAAGCATCTCTTACCAGAATTCTTGCTCATGTTCAAGTGTGCGGGAGCCAAGATCTCAGTAGTACTTGGATGTTTGTTTTTTTATGTGGCTTCTTGCTCAGATGTTAAATTCACTCCACATTTTTTTAAACATTTGATTTAGGAATATCCCAGGCCAGAGTATGAAACAAGATTATTACAGAAGAAAGCCAGAACGGAAAATACCAAAATCGTGACTCAGGATGAGGTAGGACACCAAAGTTTCTGTGATCCTTTTCATTCCCGTTTTATGGTTTTATTAGGGCTGCATGCTGTAATAAAATATTGTGTAATATTCATAACTAACATCTATTTGACTCACTTTTTTACTGATAAATTTTAATCAAAGAAATGTGGATGGGTTAAGAATTAAAGTACCATTGTCTTTTGCAATTCTGAAATTCTGGTAATTGTGACATTTCTTCTTTATATGTTCCTTTCCTTTAAAAAAAACCTGTTGAGTTTTCAATATGATGGACATTTATTTACATGTATTTTAAATTAATTGACTGAGGATACACAAGGGAAGTGGTTGATTGATTAAAGCGGAAATTTTATATAAACTATTGGAAGGAGCGATCTTTGAGAATTTAGCCTGGTTCACAGTTTAACTGACCTAATTCACATTTCTTGTCTTACACGATTGTTCTCCATACTTGATGATGTATTTATTGCCTGAAACAAAGTACCAACATGCATGCAAAATTATGCATTTTCAAATTAAAACTGAGGAACATTGAGCTGTAGCTTGGAAGCCTTCTCAAAAAATTATTTTGCGAGCCACTTGTTCCAAAGATGCTTTTTCAAGAAGCAACTGAACTTTCTTTGTTTGCCCTTAAATTTTCACATATTCATACTTTCATGTTTCACTTCACATCCAAGAAGCTTCTTCAGTTCAATCATGGAAAAGCACCTTTGGGAGAAACATAACCTGGAAGATTGAGAATCTCCATAGACATTGTATACCACTTCCACCTCTACCTGGACTAGCAGACTACCAATGTTCACTGATGTTTTGGTTGCCTCCATCATGGACTATTGCAATGCAGTGAAGTTGGGGCTACCTTTGAAAGCAATTCATCAGCTGCAGCTGGTTCAGATTGAACCAGCATGGACAACGATGGAAAGATTTCATTGTGCCCTTCTTGTTGTGGTTCACCGGCAGATGGTGCAGATGGTAGCAGAATTGGACAGTGGGGAAGAACGGGGACCAGTCAGGGAGTCTGGCGAGGACTCGGGCAAGGATCCTGCATCCGATGCAGAGATGGGGCCAGGACCATCTTGGAGTGGGGTGCTGCCTTCAGAGCCTTCGGAGTCTGGCAGCAGCAAGGCAGAGGACCCAGGGGAGCCTGTTCCCAGTGCGCATATGTGCAGAGCTGCTAGAAGGCGAGAGCAGCTGAAACAAAAGGGGCGACTTGGGAGTAAGGCTGGGAGGTGATTGCCTCTCCCATAAAGTATAAAAGTCAGACCAAGATGATGAAACCTTTGCAGGAAGCAAAGTAGTTTGATCGGTTCCGAGTTATCCTTGAAGCTCTTTGTACTTTGGTTGGTTTTTCTTGTACTTCGGTTGGTTTCTTTTCTAGTTAACTTGATACTTCTGTTTTTGTGCTTTTAACCACTGAGCCATTGCACCACCTACTGAGACTCTAACAGTAATCAAAGTAGACCATTGTGTCCTAGAAGTGTTCTGACCTAGGCTTCATAAACCATAATTATCCACAAACTTGTTTTAAAAACAAAACCTATTTTATTGCAACGCTGGGAATTGTTTTCATTCCCAGCCAGAATTCATTTCAAACAGTCTCCCAAGGTAAAAAACACACTTTTCAGTTCTGTGAAGTGCTGCCAAAAACAGAAGTATCAAATTAACTAGAAAAGAAACCAACCGAAGTACAAGAAAAACCAACCAAAGTACAAAGAGCTTCAAGGATAACTCGGAACCGATCGAACTACTTTGCTTCCTGCAAAGGTTTCATCATCTTGGTCTGACTTTTATCCCTTATGGGAGGGGCAATCACCTCCCAGCCTTACTCCTGAGTCGCCCCTTTTGTTTCAGCTGCTCTCGCCTTCTAGCAGCTCTGCACATATGCGCACTGGGAACAGGCTCTCCTGGGTCCTCTGCCTCGCTGCTGCCAGACTCTGAAGGCTCTGAAGGCAGCACCCCACTCCAAGATGGTCCTGGCCCCATCTCTGCATCAGATGCAGGATCCTTGCCCGAGTCCTCACCAGACTCGGAAAGAGATCTGAGCACTCCATGATGGAGTAAACTCCCGTTGCTTGCCAGTTCCTGCCCCTAGCAGTTTGAAAGCATGCAAATGCGAGTAGATTAATAGGTACCACTTCGGTGGGAAGATAACAGAGTTCTGTGCACCTTTGGCATATAGTCATGTTGGCCACATGACCATGTCTTGTGATAACGCTGGCTCCCTCAGCTCAGAAATAGAGATGATCACCACCCTCTAGAGCATGGGTGTCAAACTCGCCACGTCACGTTGCCATCACAAGACGTATCACAATGTTTTTTCCCTTCACGGAGCTGGGGTGGGCATAGACAGTGAGCGACGTATCCGGTCCATGGGCTGCCAGTTTAACACCCCTGCTCTAAGAGTTAGACACAACTCAATAGGGGAACCCTTTACCCTTACCTAGATTCTGAGTGTTGTTACTGACTATAAAGGCCTTCATGGGTAGGGCCTTATTATCTAAGGCAGAGGTGTCAAACTTGATTTCATTGAGGGCCACATCAGGGTTGTGTTTGACCTTAGGGGGCTGAAAGGGGCACGTCCAGCTTGACGTCACTCATGTTGAGGGCACCTGTGGTGGCCCGGAAGGGGCTGGGGGGGTCAACTTTTGCTAGTAGTTTGTTCTGCTCGTGCTCTGCCAGTGAAAATGGAGCTTGGAGGACTGCGCGTGGCCCTCCCAGGTTCCATTTTTGGCTGCAACAGCCTCCTGCAGCCTTCTGTCAGCTAAAATGGAGCTCGGGGGCAATGGTGGGATCAAAACTTTTTACTACCGGTTCTGTGGGTATGGCTTGGTGGGTGTGGCAGGGGAAGGTTATTGCAAAATCCCATTCCCTCCCCACCCCACTAACCTGCTTTCCAGCTCTGTTCTCCTGTGCAGGCCAACCAAAGAAGACCGAGCCGATCAACTGGGACTCAATGGGAGGCAGAGAATAGATGGGGGTGGGGCCAGTCAGAGGTGGGATTTGCCGGTTCTCTGAACCACTCCAAATTTCTGCTACCGGTTCTCCAGAACTGGTCAGAACCTGCAGAAGACCACCTCTGCCATGATCCCATTTTCAGTGAAGATTTGGGACAGGAATCTGTTAATAGACCTGACCTAATAGATTAGCATTCCTGAAATTCTTCCTACTGTGTCTATTTCTTGACTGGGCCTTTTTGGAAAGCTGATGCCATGACCCTTCCTCCAACCAAGTTTTAAGATCCAAAAAGGGGGTTAAACAATTTTTCAAAACACCAAAAGGCAAGAGGAGAAACAATGGATGAAAACTGGTCAAAGAGAGAAGCAACCTAGAACTAAGGAGAAACTTCCTAACTGTGAGAACAATGAACCAATGGAACAGGCTGCCTTCAGAAGTTGTGGATGCTCCATCATTGGAGGCTTTCAAGAAGAGACTGGACAGCCATTTATCTGAAATGGTATAGTGTCTCCTCCTGGAGCAGGGGATTGGATTAGAAGATCTCCTAGCTCCCTTCCAGCTCTATTCTTCTATCTTCTAACCCACCTGGAGTCGTAGAGCCCTCAGAACAGCAGCCCTTGATGAAGTCAATCTGAATCCTGAAGGCCCATGAATTCCATCCTAAGCAAAATAATTGAGAGAATTTTGGAGATAGCCATACCTCTGGTAAACATCACTAGAAGCTTCAGGTTCCACCACAGTTAACAAACTATCTGGGAGTAGGAAATGCTCACCACATCCCCCAGTCTTTCGTGAAGTTTGCTTAGTAAAATTTAACAGTTTGGAAGGTATGAAGCAAAGTAGTGGAAGAACTTTGACAGATGTCAAAACCGTTTCAGAGAAGACTAAGGAGGGTGTGTACCAAGTCTACGGCATGACGAGTTACAAATATATAATACTGGGGAAGAATGGAGTTCCACACTAAGGAAGTAACGACAGTTCGCTCCCTGGGTTGTGGTTTCACCATAAAAGGCAAGGAAAGTCAAATAAAACTTATAGAGCCTTGCATTATCTTTGCTAGTGCTCAGACTGCTACGGTGCGTTAAAAATATATGGATTGGAATATGCTTTTTAGGCATACTTGGCAGATGTTCTAAGGAAGTACACAGATTAGCCTACTTTCTCCAGCAGAATTTTCTCTTTTGGAGAAACATGTTTCTTTATTTAATCAAGTGACATAGCTGCCCATCAACCCAAGAAACTTCTAGCTCAGAAGGCCTATTTAATACAGGTAGTCGTTGACTCATGACCACAACTAAGTGCAAACTATCTGTAGCTAACAGTGGTGGGATTCTACCAGTTTCCCTATCGGTTCGGTGATAGTGTTTTCAGGATCCCAGCAGTTACCCCCATTTAAATCATGAGTCTTGAACCAAACTTCCAAAACTTAAAAAGGGTTTATTGAGAGTTAACATGCCAGCACTGCCTGGGGGTAGCCGACTTGATAATTTTTGATGATCTTTATCCAAAAAATTAGGGCTCATTGCAACAGTTTAGTAAGATTTCAGATTATTCACTCAACCAGAAGAAGTCTAACATATTTCCTATAAGCTGTATGATATCTGTGGGAATCTGTAAATTTTGGTGTTTTAAATATAGTTTGAATATCCTAGGAAGACCTCTTCAGTGACAAACGTATCCAACTATTTAACTGGAGATGTTGATATTAACTGATGATTTAAAATGCCTATCGGTCTTCGGGAAAGAATTTTTTTTACAAAATTAATGTCACTCTTAAAGTGATGTCAGTTTGCCTGTATCTCTGTCTGCCTGCCTGCCTGCCTGCCTGCCTGCCTGCCAAACTTCAGGCCAGTCTACCTACTCTATCTGTCTATCCATCAATCCCTCCTGTCTGTCTGTCTGACCATCTATCCATCCATCCATCCATCTAGCTATCGAGCTATCTAGCTATCATTTATCTGTATCTATATCTGCAGGCCAGCCTACCTACCTACCTCTATCTATCTATCTATCCATCCATCCCTCTCACTATCCCTCCCTCCCTCCCT